TCTCTGTAAAAGCTTGCGTTTATTTCATGCAAAAGCACTTTAACTACACTGGTTTGTTTTTGTTTCAGTAAGATTAATGAAAACGTTCTTTTTTTAACCCTAAATTTTCTCATGTTCGCATTTCATAGTTATTATTAGAAAGCTTTCATTACTTAAGAGAGATTTGCATTTGTAGAAAAGTTCTCGGTTTTTTTTTAATATTGTTATTGTTTCTAGCTTATTTTATTTTATATTTTGATTCATTTAATGGATTTTGGATTAAATTACTCTTTTAAACTTTCAGTTTTAATCGAAGTCATCGGTATTTTTTGCTTAAACTGATAACTTACTTTTCAAGATAAACAAATTTTGTGATTAATTTTGATGAAAAAAGGTTTATCGTAACTATCTATGCCTTTGCAACAAATGCAAAGGCAGTTAAAAAAGCTATATAAAAAAAGATACAAAATTGTTTTTCAATTTTATATCACTTTTATGCACATGATATTTCTCTACCAGGATAAAATGACTTTTATTCACTTATTAACTTAATTTTTTTTTAAATGTTCATTTTAAAAGCATAATCGGATAATATTTTTTTCCTTTTGGTTTTAGGTTTTACTTCATTTCGGGAATCATAATAGTCATAATAATTTTCAGTTACTTCTGAATATTTAAAGAAAGTTATTTTTATGTCAAATTATTACACAAGAAGTATTAAAATCTTAGCAATGTAAAAGTATCATCATGCGATAGGCGAGAGACCATCGCTAAGAATTCTTTTATTAATAAGCAAAATATGATAATAATACACTGAGGAATATTAATAGCAATGTTATGAATTACAATGCAATGTCATTAAATTTATTTCTAAGCAGGAAACATGAAAAATCAGCAATGACCCTACCGAGATTGGAACGCTATATCTATACATGCTAGAAGGACGAGCGTCCAATAACATTACAAAATACGCGTTTAGGAAGGACAAAAATTCCTTATATTCTCTCCCACTTAAAAGGCGACTATAGAGGAAGAGTCTCTGTCTCCAAATCCAGGTAGTGACAAATTTTGTTTCGGGTAACCACACTTTATTTCAGTCAATATTTACAGAGTAATTAGGATTTTTGGAACCAGAAAATCAGAGAAATTAGCAGTGCCGTTCCTGGAAGTTGAATTCCTGACGTCTTTATTAACACTCGGACTTTCTTTCAATTACACATCAAAGGCAAGCAATGGGAAGGAGAAAATTATTTACATTCATTTTTAGAAGGAGAAAAAGAAAAGGTGAAAATTCCTTTTCAGAATTAAAAATTTGGAAAGAAATTACATGCTTCTCAAATTACATCTAAAGCAAATTTCTTTATTTTCAGTAACTTTACGCTTTTGATAATTTGAAATATTATTCATATTTGCATATCATATTTAAACTCAAAATTAAATAGCACCTGCTTTCACTACTATTAAACTATCGTTTCCAGCTATATTTTAATCTTCTTGCCAACACATTTACTGCTACTAATCGAAAATAAGCTAAAGAGAATAATATCTTTATGCTTATGCTAAAGAGCATCTTATGTTTATGCTCTATTATGCCCCTTACGCTTAAGGACTCCCGATACAAGACTGAAACTAACTGGAAGAAAAATACGTTCACGCAGAATTGAAAATTATGCAAAAAATGCAGCCTTAAAATGTCATAGATTTTGAATGAAACTCTATCAACGTCGAAAGCAATCAGGGATAAATTTCTAATCCTTATTAGCAAAACCATTTTGAGGAACAATAGCTATATATTTAGGAAACCGAAGGATTGTAGCAAAGAAAAAACGATTTTATAGTGATCTTTGGAAGAAAACAGTAACGAAATGTGAAGAAGCTAATTATGGAAAGCTATTATAAAAATAATATCATTGATTGAATGACGTTCTTTAATTTGTTACCTAACGACATTAATTCAAATCCAATTTTTTAACTTTTTCTAATATCTGAGCATTTTTACATTTCATTATTGTTTACATTGAAAGACATCGCCCATCAGTGACCGAGCGCCGCCCATTTGGTATAGTGGTTAGCGTCGGGTGGAGCACCCTGTAGCGCGATCTAATAGCCGAAATGACACCAAACTTGGTATTTAGACTAATAAAGACATGGGACATCAAGCCATACAATCATGCAGTTAAATTATTAATGTTTATTTACTACATTAACTTCCCCGGTGAGGAATTAGAGCACATTCAATGTGAGCACCGCTCTCAAAAATAACATCGTGCTTCTGTGCACCGTTCTCCCGCCGTATGCAACATATCACGAGGGAATCCGCACGTCTTTGTTATGTTGTGCTTTAGAACAAATTGATACTCACTAACATAACCTCCGATTCAAATAAACCCGAGCCAAATCGCATGGTTGAGGTCAGGGAACGATACGCCATGCAACTGAACTGCGGACTTAGATCTTCATCGTGAAGCTTGGCGCAATAGTGCTTTACCTATTGCTAATGTGTGCGGAGCACATCTGCATCAAGATTTCTATGGAGACGTTTTTTGCTGAAGTGGGAATAACAAAGTTTGCAACATCGTGGTACCTTTCTGCATTTAGGTGCCCGTTGAGGTCCTTCGATTGATGTCTCAAAAAAAATGCCCAATTCGAATTCGGCTGTAGAAACTTACGCACAGTGACTTGGGGAATTAATGGGCTTCGTCCTGGGGTGCGTTCGCTCAGAAGCTCAAATTCGGCATTTTTGTTGTTTCTGGACCCTGAGATAAAATGGCACTCATCTCCCCATAATTTGCCATGGGAAGCATCATAATTTCGCTTTGCAAGAACGATAGAGCGAAAGTCACCCATATAATATTGGTTTCGTACGTTCAAGAGGCTGATTTTTGTAGGGGTAACGCCAATACGCGCCGAAAATTCCCAACCGTGAATAATTCATGTCCTTTGTCGACTACTCTCCGCGGCTATTCCAGCAATGGTTCCCTGCGATCCTTCGAAGTTGCAGTGCCACATCATTATTACATCTCTGATCGGTTTACTCTCTTATCCAGCGCGAATGGTCATGACCCAGTTCCTCGAACATTTTAATTATTTTTAAGACCATTCAGCGATAAAGGCCCTTTCGTAATTTTTCTGGTTCGAATGCCGAAGAGTGCGGATGCATTACAGACACTTCACCAGTACGCCGTTCCGTAACGTAGAGGCTGTCCACGGGAGCTCTTACTTCAGTTGAGATATTTGTCGAAGCTTTTAAACTTGCTTTTATAGGCCCATACTGGCCTGTATTGCAGAATTTGCATTCTTCTTATACCGTTTTTATGCTAAATCTCGTTATTGTAAGTACAGCAGCGGCAATTTTGAACGCAAATATTTTTTACGGATTTTTTCCATGTCTTGATTAGTCTAAATACCAAGTTTGGTTCCATTTCGGCTATTAGATCGCGCTACAGGGCACTCCAAACACTGTCATTTTAAAAAACATCACCCTGTACTTTAACAGCTATGACGTACCTCTTTACCATTTGATCGGTAAAGAGGTGAATGACAATCTGTTTTCATATCTAAAAGAGATTGGATTTTATCATTGAATTTGATCTACTTTGTAGTGTTTATAAATGTTCCAAATATTTTAATCTATGTTTTTACTCTTCATACTTTCAAGTTTCATTCTGTTGATTAATCACATCATCACAAACATATTTTAATACTGGTTTTATCTGTCATCTGTAGAGATTCAAAATTTAACCATTCGTTTGACGCATTATGACCTTAAAGGTTATGCGCCATGAAACTCACAAACTCAAACTCAGTGACCGAGCGTTAAAATACTGAATACTTGATAGCGAGGACCGAATTTATACCTCGCAAAACGACTGGCTTAATGGAGGGTTTCGTGATTTATCCTGCCTTCAACATGAATACGAGCAATTTTTCTTTAAAACATTGTACACAAAGCTAATTTTTGTTCTTAGTTAGACGCCCAGCATTGATGAGGTGTTTGAAATCGCTGAATACTGGAAGTTTGACCTTGGTTTGATCCTAAGGAAACTCACTGGTTGCATGATTTGTTTTTGCATTTTTTTTCAATGTATAACAAGAATAGGAACCAGTCTCGATGTATAGCATAAATATGAGTTTGCCCTCAAAGGCATTTCTTCCCTTACCTTTTGCTTTCCCATGTTGAAATAATTGGATCTCCCTTGGCCCACTTGTCTTTTGTCATACTGTTATAGTTTAATCTTCTTTAGACAGAGAGTCATTGAGAGCTTTGCTATAATCTAAAGTCCCAATCACATTATGTTTTGTCTACGCGCGACTTGACGTCGAAAGGGATAATTCTCAGAACCCGCATAATTCCAGGAAACTCACGTTGCTAAGCTACCATTTCCACTTACTACAAAGACTTGAACGCCAAACACTAATCGATTATCGCTCAGATTGGGATCACGTGAGGCTTCAGAAGCAGAATTTTCATCTGATTGGTAGTCTCTACCCGGGACTGAGGTCCAGACGAGACATTTTCGGTGAGGTTTGAAAAAAATCCCGCGTAGCCGCAACATTGTTTTCGTAGGTAGACGGGACTCTTTTTTCTAGGAATCCTCCCGTTTAAACCAGTGCTACCAGAAATCTCGTTTCTCAAAAGCCGTTATAGGCTTAGCTATGCTCTTAATAGCTAAACTTAATCGAAAGATGGCGATCCGCTATTTTCTTTTTGCTTCATCGTTTGATTTTTTAGAAGTAGTGTGCAATTATGTGAGAACTAGATACCCGTCCTCGTTTTAAACACAAACTTATATTAAATAATTGCACAATACAAGAATAAATAAGAAAATGACATATAAACTACGAGAACAGAACAAAAATAGTGAAGAATAGACAGCATAGCAGCTGCCTTGCGAATGCGTTCGTCTGAGTCTGACTGTTCAACTGAATTCAATGTTCTTTGGCATAGTTCCAAAAGCGAAAGAGTCAGGTTGAGTTGTTCTGTTCCGGTGCACCGGAACATACTCCCACCCTATCAGGCATTAGTCCTGATATATGGGCAAAGGTGCTAATTTATGAATGTTTCTTTTGAAAACAGAGTTTTTAGTTTTAACCGTGGCCACATGAACTAGTCCGTCAGTACCATGATGAAGTTCGACCACTTGTCCTAGTGGCCAAGAACCTGGAAGATGACCATCATCTAGTAACAGGACGATGTCTCCAATTTTCATATTCGGCTGAGTGTCCTTCCATTTCTTTCTGGTTTGAAGCGAAGATAGATATGCTTTGGTCCATGATTTGCAGAAGTCCTTGCGCATCTTTTGAAGGAGATCCCACCTATTCCGTATATTGGCAGGACTAGTAAGAGGTAGTTCAGGAGGGGATAGGATCACGTCTCCTGTAAGAAAATGTGAAGGAGTGAGAATATTAATGCAATCAATGTCAGTATTGTTTACACTACATAACGGACGAGAATTTAAAATGGCTTCTATCTGAGCCAATAGAGTTGTCAATTCTTCGAAAGTAAGTAGCGTTTCACCTATTACTCTTTTACAGTGATATTTGGTTGATTTAATTGCGGCCTCCCAAATTCCTCCGAAATGAGGAGATGCTGGAGGTATAAAGTGCCATTCTATTGATGCTTGAGTTAAATGATGAGCAACGGCTTCGTTCTTAGGAAGTGAAGCCCACAATCGTTGTATTTCGCTGAGCTTTCGATTAGCCCCAACGAAGTTTGTTGCATTGTCGCTGTAAATGTGACTTGGAGCTCCTCGTCTAGCACTGAAGCGACGCAAAGCAGCTAAAAATGCATCAGCGGTTAAATCGCTCACTGCCTCGATGTGTAGTGCCTTAGTAGCGAGACAAATAAATAGAGCAATGTAACCCTTGGTTGATTTTGTTCCACGACCCTTGTTGAATTTGATTGAAATAGAGCCGGCATAGTCCACTCCGCAGTTGAAGAAAGGCCTGTCGAGTGTTACACGATGCTTTGGTAGATTACCCATAAGCTGAGATGCGGTGGATGCTTTAAATATGAAGCATTTGATGCATTTGTTAATGAGCTTTTTTCCACCTATGATCCAATATGATTGTTTGATAATGTGGGAAAGTAATGAAGCACCAGCATGTAAATAAGTCACATGCTTTTCTTTTACGATGAGCTCACTTAGCTTGTGTTTAGCAGGAAGAATCACTGGTGCTTTTGATTAAAAGACAATTCTGAATTTTGTAAACGCCCTCCCACCCGTAAAAGACTGTTTCCATCTGTAAACGGATGGAGGGAGTGTAGCTGACTTTTCTTAGGCAACGATCTTTGATTTTTAATGCATTTTAGGTCTTCATTAAAATAATCTTTCTGAACCCATCGAATTATGATTATTTCTGCATTTTTAGTTTCCGTGTAAGTGAGTGGAGAAAAGGAATCAGTTATAAGTGTTTGACATTTGTTATTGGTTTTGCACTTATTGATGAATCTTAAACAATATGCTAAAATGCGTATAATCTTAGAAAATGATGAATATTTTTCAAATAAATCACTATATAATTCATTTGATGTAGCACTATGAAATGAAAATATAGGATCAGATCTTTGTTCAGCTTTAATTAGATCCTTGATTTCTTTGGAAGCGGATTCCTCTTTCGGCCAGTGAGACGAATCCAAAAAAAGCCAACTTGGGCCATTCCACCACAAGTTGCAATTAGGAAGACATTTGGGATCAATACCACGCGAAGCGATATCTGCTGGGTTCTCTTTGGAAGGGACATGCCTCCAGTATTTTGTTGGAAGTACTTCGATTATTTGAGACGTCCGGTTTGCAACAAAAGTCTTCCATTTACGGGGATGTGCTGAAAGCCAGGAAAATACGACTTTGGAGTCAGTCCAAGCGTAAACATCAAACTTATATTTTTTGAGAGTGTTCATGACTGCATGATATAACTTTGAAAGCAAATGAGCACTGCATAGTTCCAATTTAGGAACAGATACTTGTTTGATAGGTGCGACTTTAGTTTTAGAAACTAAGAGAGAAACCTTTATTTCATTTCCGTGTATTTGTTTGCAATATATTGCAGCAGCGTAAGCAAGTGTTGAAGCGTCGCAAAAGCCGTGCAATTCAAATGTGTCAGAGGAAATAAGCGTGACACCTCTAGGAACGGTAAAATGTTCAACTGCATTGAAAGATTTCTGAAATTTAAAAAACAAATCTTCAGCAAGACTTTGTGGAATAGGAGAATCCCAGTCCCCTTTTGTAAGCCAGAGCTTCTGATAAAAAATTTTCATTACAACAGTACATGGTGAAATTAATCCTAATGGATCGAAAATGCGTGCCGATTGGGACAAAATGTGTCTTTTTGTCAGCGGTGAGGTGAGTGCAAGTGCGGGTTTGAAAATGAATGTGTCTGTTGAAGAGTTCCAAAATAATCCTAAGACTTTCGTGCTTTCCTTATCATTAGGAATTATTTCTAAATTAGTGTCCGTTGAACAATGTTCTTGAAATTCTGCAAGAAATGCATTTGAATTAGAATTCCACTTTCGTAGGTGGAAACCGTGTGTTTGTAAAATATTGGTAATTTCCTTACAAAGTGATATTGCATCACTATCGGTACTTGAACCCGATAGCAAATCATCCATGTATACATCGTGTAGTAAAGTATGAGAAACACAACTATTTTGTGAATAATCTAGTGCAATTTGCTTAATGCACCTAGTGGCTAGGAAAGAAGCTGGAGCTAAACCATATGTTACGGTGTTTAACTTGTATGTGCGTATTTCTTCGTTAGGATTAAACCTCCAAAGAATTTGTTGGTAGTTCCGATCCTCATCGGACACTAAAACTTGACGGTACATTTTCTCTATGTCTGCTGAAAAGACTATTTCCGGAAATCGAAAATTAAGTAAAATTTCGAAAATGTCTCGTTGCAATTTAGGACCAACACCCAAGATTGAATTCAATGATTTACCGTTGGAAGTTTTACATGAAGCGTCGAAAACGACTCTTAATTTGGTAGTTGTACTAGACGGCTTGATCACTGCATGATGGGGAAGGAAATATTGCTCATTCTGAAATCTATTTAAACAGTTTTGTGTGACCAATTCCATATGACCTAAATTTTCATATTCATGCATAAAATCCTTGTATTGGTTTTCAAATTCCGAGTTTTCCTTAAATTTACGTTCCATAGCATATAATCGAGAAAGTGCAGCTGGTTTTGAATTACCTAATTCAGATTTAGATTTTAAAAATGGCAACTTCACCACAAAACGACCATCTGAATTAATTGAGTAATTTTCCTGAAAATGCGTTTTTCAACAAATTGTTCTTCAGGTGAGAATACAGTGTCAGTTGAATTTGGTACTTCTTCTAACTCTCCCAAAACCTTTTCAATTCGCTGTCAATATTTATTTCATAAATATGCATGTTTGAAAGTGAATTTGATTTCGTTTGAGATTCCGGTAGTTTTTCCGGATATGAGGAAACCAAAAATTGAGTTTTGAGCAATTAAATCACTTTGAGAACAAGTTATTTGTCCAGGAAGTAAAATAGAAAACAAGTAGTCAGATCCTAGAATAATATCTATCTTATCCGGAATGTGAAAATATGGATCAGCTAACTTTACATTTTTCAAATGCGAAAAGTTTTTCTCATTTATTTTTGGCTTGGAAGCGCAGCAGTTAGTTTATCTAATGCAAATGCCTTAATTGGCATTCTCACTGATGTATCATGGATTGACATCAACTCAGTTTCAACGCAACCTTTTGTAACTGCGACTTCTGACTCAGCTAAACATTTGACAGGAAAACGCGCATTTTTTCTTTTAAATCCCAATAAATTAATACAAGATTCAGATTTAAATTTGGGGCATTTGAAAAGAAAATGATCTGATTTACACATAATACATTTGATACTTTTGTTAACAGAAACTCTTTTAACACTAGGTTGAGTTTTTTCCCTTTCCTTTTCGTGGAAAATTTCTAAAGAGGAACATCTATCATTTATAAATTGCATAAACATTTCAAAAGTAGGAAATTCCACTTTTACTGAAAACTCAGACCATTGTTTACATGTTTCGTTGTCAACCTTCTGTAATAAAATATAAATTAGCCAAACATCCCTTTCATTAGCTTTGGGATCAATAGATTTTAAACCTCTGATAATCTCATCAGAAGTATCGGCAATTTTTCGCAAATTAATTGAGTTTGCATTAATTACACAAGATTGTTCCATGAAAGTTTTTATTAGTGATGTGACAATTTGTTTTTTCTTATCATACCTAGATAATAATTTTCCCCAGGCTTCCATATAACTATTTTCTGAAATGGGAATATGTTTAATAATAGAAGCCGGTTCATCAGTTAATAAACCCTTTAGATATTGAAATTTTTATTGTTATGCACTAATGATACATATAAGTCCTTGAAAGACATCCAGTTTCTGTAATTACCGTTAAAAGACTGCATATTTATTCTCGGTAATTTAAAATTATTAGCAGTATTTGTAGTACTATAACCTGGTATTTGACGTTCATTAACATTAGTAACTTGCATATTAACAGTAACATTTAATTTCTCAAGTTCTTGTTGTAGTTTGGCTTTGGTTTCATAATAATTTTTCTCAAGTTCTTCCATTTCAGAACTTTCCGGCGGACGTTCTGCGTCTGCCTTGTCAAAATCAGAATAAATACTTTCAATTTTTTTAAGTTTATTTATTAAATCGTATTTTTCGAATAACTGCTCATCATCATGAATGAAATTTGAAATTCTAGTAAGAGCAGCTTTCGCTCTACCTTTTGCAATCTTAACCTTGTCTTCCATTACGACGTAATGGTGCAATGAGGAAAAGCAAAGTCAAACTTGTAAAAAAGAAAAAAAATACTTATCTTGCTTGGTCTTTAAATGAAGTTCGATGCTAAATGTATCCTGTAGTAGCCAATACTGTACCGAATGCAGCGTTGCAGTGCTGACGAATGTTGCAGTGCTGAATCAAAATTCCTTTAATCTCGCCGGTGCCTCCAAAATTTATGTTGCGATGTAATGTGAAGGAACTAGATACCTGTCCTCGTTTTAAACACAAACTTATATTAAATAATTGCACAATACAAGTATAAACAAGAAAATGACATATAAAACGTATAAACACGAGAACACAACAAAAATAGTGAAGAATAGACAGCATTCCAGCTGCCTTGCGTATGCGTTCTTCTGAGTCTGACTGTTCAACTGAATTCAATGTTCTTTGGCATAGTTCCAGAAGCGAAAGAGACAGGTTGAGTTGTTCTGTTCCGGTGCACCGGAACAGTTAGATTTCATGAATATGGCAAAGCACACAAAGGCTATCTACCAAAAAGAGGAATGTCTTCATGAAAGACCTTCTAAAATAAACTGGCTCATGTTCACGTTATACATGGAGAAAACCTATAAAAACAACTATGCAAACGGCTCGTTTGCGTGGCTTCGAACTCAGGTTGAAATATGCGTATCCAGATGTATTTAACTGCTTGAACGTTATTAGGGCTTGATTTCGTTGTAAATGTGCTTGTTGCTTCTTCCAAATTTGCTGAAGTGTTTCGTTGCTGAATAAGACTGTCGTTCTCTTGCTTGACTCCCAAATTTGAAGCAAGTGATACAAATTAGTGCTTGAGAAGTGAGTTTCCAGGTATATCAAATTGTTCTTTATCAATAGTGGAGAAAAAAATTAAAGGATAAATAATCATAACTCAATGGAGATGAAAATCCCTGAACTCTATGCATTGAAAACCCGTAAAAGATATTAAAATTAAAAAAAGAAAACTAAAATTTGTAAAAGAACAAAAAAACTGTAAATGAGCTAATCTGAAAGGTTTATCTTAAACTAAAGAAAATGAAGCAACATGGACATGGAGAGATTTCAGTTAAGTCCTTAAAATGATAAAAAGCTTTAAGTGCACGATATAACGTGACTACTTTGTTTCAGCTTTTCCAGGCATTTTCACCTTTTAGATTTCCCACTTGTAATCTTCAGTTGAGTACTCTATTCCAAAGCATGGAGGCTTGCAAGGTTTTCCAAGCTTTGCAAGGCTTGGAATTAACTAAAAGTTTGAAATTTGCAATCTGTACATGCCCGATATTTGCACATTTTCAAATATCATTGCCCTGTGCGTTACTGATGACACCCATTAGTGGTCTAAAAGCTAATGCTTTGAAGAAGTTATTTCAAGTTTCGTTCGTAATTTCCAGCTCGTAGGTAGATTTCATGTATGCTCATTTAATAAATTAATAATTCAACTTCGCTGTGAAACGAATTAAGACTTACTCTCGAAGTTCGAAACGAATTTCCAATTTGCTTTGTATTAGTTTCTCACTTAAAAATCCGACTAGTAAATATTTGTGAGTACTGATTTGTTGATATGTTACCATTCATTTACTTATGAATAGCAGAGAAAAAATAAAATTAGCATAGAGAAAGATAATAACACTGCCAAATTTACAGCAATTTAAGATTTCTTACTAACCCTTAAATTAGAAATACATATAACCAGAGTTAAAAAGAGATCAACCAGGGTCTATTCTAAGAATCTGCGTATAACAAGCTCTATTAGCATCAGAGCAAGGGACAACACTGCCAACTAGGACTTCTGAAATTTCGCAATGCTGATTCTGCTAATAATATAGCAGAGTGTGACTGATGAATAAACTACTCTAGACACCCTTGGTAATTAAATACTTTCTCCTTAGAGACACCTTCATTTAACTAACCATTAACGTCCCAGAAGGCAAAGTATAAAAAACTGCCCTTTCAGCTACATTAAATCTATATTTATATCAGGTTACAGTTATGTACTTATATCTTTACCGAATGGAATGCGTTCTTTCCTGACTGAACGCTTGTGCTCTTCAGCGAGTACTTACGAAATAATTAAATGATACTTACGAACCCATAAAATTTGACAACACCTCAGAAAGGAAAATAGTTCAAAATTAAGATAAAATAATATTTAATACCTTTCAATAAACACTTTAACATAACTCCTCGTACTTTTTTGCCCGCAAAACACATAGTAATTATGTTGTTGTTACCTAGGGCTTAAGATCAATCCAAACGTATAAAACAGCTTAAGTATCACACATGAACAATGATAATTAATAAAAAAGAACAAACATTTATAAAGTAAGAATCAGAATTAATGCACGTACGAATAAATGTACGTAGTAATTATGTTACAACACTTTCTGTTTATTATCACTTAGTACTGTAATTGGATTTCTATATGTTTCCAGAAAAGAAAAGCAAATAAAGAGATACTTTACCTCATTGTGTTTCATTTTTCCAAGGTTACCTACCTTTTTAGTGCTATTTCGAAGATTAATTTCCAATAACAGGACATTTTTTTCTGTAATAATTATT